CACTACCGTTAGAAATTCTTCTTAAAGATTAATACACTGCATGGGCTAAAAGGGTTATAGGGAAAAAGCTAGTTCCTTTTCAGTTCTAGCAGCCAGTCTATGAATAAATAATGTACTAAGCTTATATACCCTATTCAATATATGCTACAGGTAAAAGCTTAAGTATGCTGGGACAGAATTGAGAGATGAAATGAGTGATTTGAGGGGAGATGATGGACAGAATCAAAGAAACGTGAAGTTTGGAAATAGGAAAGAGTAATTTCCTTGGACACATCCTGAAAAGCTTCAGTACAAGCCACCAACACTCATATGGAAGATAAAAAGTGCCTACACAGATACTTTAGGGATAATTGGATTGTCATTAAAAGAGAGTTGACTGGCAGGTTTCAGCAAACATGACATAAAATTAGCTTTCAGCTTCCTAAGAAGGTTCACAAACACAGAGATAAGGCAGAGTACGCTATGGTTCTCCACGGTATTTTACAACGAGCAATAGACACTCACCACTGTACGATGGCTCTCTTAGCCGGATTTCCCGAGAAGACTGCCTTTCTGAATGAGGCTAAGATGATCGATGCATGCCAGAGCCCTCTGCGGTTCAGAAAGGAAATAACTCTTCTGCTGTTCTTGGAATGTTTGGTTCGATTTCCGCACAAGAGACTCAAAAAGGAGAGACGGGAGTTGGGATTTTTTTTTTTTTTGCTTGGGGGAGGGAAGAGGAGGCAGGTGGTTGGTTGTATTTTTTTTTTTTCCCTCTCAAAGAGCCCTGACCTCCAGCAACATTTCCTAGGTTTATTCCTAGAATTTAGACAAGACAGAAATATTACACAAAGCTACACATGAGCACGTTAGAGAGATCCAATTCACATGTAAACACTGTGTAAGAATATCTGGATGTAGAAGGAATGTGAGGAACTCTATATTAAAAACAAAGCCATCTTTATTTACCGGGGAAAGGAAAGCTATAAAGGAGAAATTCAAATGTACTAAGAATTGCAATCGAAGAAGAAACAAAACCAGATTTTCTTGACAGCATAGTTATTATCAATGCCATTTCAGCTACACTATTATTTTAACGTGCACATCATTATGTGCTACAGCCTCGGAAAGTACCCTGTTGAGATGTTGACCTTAAAAATAAGACATGAAGCTAAATTTCTGTTATAAATCCAAATTAAAATCTTTTTGTAAATAGAGTATCCTGGTAAACATTTCTGGACTTGAAATTCATTAAGATGGAGCTTAGAGTATTTCAGGTGGACAATACATATTCAGGAAAATCTCAACATAAACGTACCTTTCCAAACCTTCAGCTGATTTATGGGGAATTAAAAACCACAGTCATTCCACACCTGCTTACACAATGAAAATTTTATACATGAGAAATGCGAAGAAGTCCACTCAGGGTTCCTAGAATCATGTCATAGGGGATAAAAAATTAAAATAAAATGCATGCTACAGGATTGAAAGCTACATTTACACTAAAAACCTGATCTGATCACTTGCCTGTTAATTTTACAAAAGTTCCTGATATTCCCCAAAACGTTTGAATGGAAAGGTAGTTTGAAAAGTAGTACAATTTCACAGAAGTCCTCAGGAAGCTTCACTCAATCTCTTAGTAGGGATTCAAACTCTGGCTTGCTCTCCTGCTGTGTTTTCTATTTCACCCTGGGACTTTTCTCACAAGCAGGCTTCACCTTTCCTTACAACTATTTTTCTTTCAAAATACAAATCAACATTCCCAAATACTTGTAACAAGTATGCTTTCAGGTACAAGGCTGCAAATTTAATGTCAGCACTTAGCCCCGGTTCACACTGAACATGTACTGACCTTTCTTTACTTTGTTTGAACCACGAGGGCTCTTTACAGAGGTTCTCACACAACTGGGAAACATCAAGCCAAATTCTGCCGTCACCGTGTGTTCAATTAAGAGCACTTGTCCACAGCAGCTTGGCATCAGATTTATGCTAGTTTAACAGAACAAATCCTGTCCTCGGTGTAATCAGAGTTCTAAGAAACAGAGCACTGCATTTCCCAGTAGCAACAGGCAGGCTGAACCTGAGAGAGGACAGACAGTAATTAAAGTATTTCAAATTCAGAATTATCTGTCAAGAACTGGGAATAGATACCCTTAATAAAAGGTTATTCAGGGTATTTAAGTGGACTAAAATAAATTAAGTCAAGTTTATTTCTAATGATCAGTGAATTCTGCAAATTCCACTCTGCCCCAGGAACATCAGCCTTTCTGCAATTACTGTTTTCCTGCTGGAGGCTATGTTCAGAATCTTTTAGATTGCACTGTACTTCCTCATTTGCCGTTTAATTTCTTCATAGATCTAGATATTGCTTATATATATAGTAGTCCGGATATTGAAGCTTCAAATAGAAAAATCTTGGTTGGTACTGAAACATACAGCATATTGAATTATTATACTTCTTTCAAAAGATGAATTCTCTTACCAGGTACAGCGCACATGTTTTTCCACAAATTATATTTGACAGGTTTGGTCATCATATTGAACACATTACTGAAGCTTAAAAACTCGAAAAGACAAATACCAACTTGATTTTATTTCTGAACGACAGTCAATTCATAGCATGAGAGATGCACCGTGTTCGGGAGACTTCACAATACACAGGATCTTCAAAAGATGAAAATCCGAGAGGAGATTAGCTGAGATTTCCCCCATGGTCTAACATGATCTTGTTGAGCAGTATTTTATAGAGGGCAGCTCTGAAAATGCCATTTTCATTCAGTGCAACTCAAAGCCTGCATGACAGACAGAAGTAACTAGCAAACACTTTTAAAAGTGGCAAAGCAATTTATATGACAGTGTTGCAGAGCGGTGATAGGACTTAGCGGTGAAGTTCAGAATTTTGGAACATAGGACCTCAACCTAGAGAATCCCAACCCAAATCCACACAGGTCCATTCATAGTTAGATTCCACTGCTATCGGGTATTTTTGAGGAAAAGGCCCTACATTTATATCTCAAGGTAACATTAGGAATCAAGTTTTAAGCCAGTAAAGCAGTTGCTATTGATCTTGGTCTGCCTTCACATAGACTTACAACTTGGGTGTAATGCAAATTTCTTGGAATTAACAGGCTTTGAGACAAGTATTTAGATAGGGAATCCAACTGACTTTATTATTTCCTAGCATCCAGCCATTTTAACAATTCTTCCTTGTTAGCACGGACAAGGAAGGCTTTTTCAGGTTTGAGAACAAAGAAATGAAATTACAGAAGACAAAACTTGCTGGTGTGCCAAATGAGAACACTCACAATAGAACAAGTCCAAGTGTCCTGTCATCATTCCTCTTTATATTGATCTTCAGCGTAATCCCCCCCAATACTTATTATTTCCATATTTCCATAAAAGGGTAGATTAAAACAGAAGTGAAAACTGTATGCACAAAATAAAAAATAAAAATTAAAAAATCAAAGCACATTTCCAGATTTTCAAAGTGTTTCACCGAAATTATATAGACTATTAATAAAACAAATCAATATGTTTGCTTCAGAACTTAATTGAGAAAAAAATTAGGTTTTCCTACCATTTACTTCTGAATGTGCTGACCTGCAAAAATCTTTGATTGTAATAAGAAAGCAAGGTAGTTGGCAAGATTACGCATTTGTTTGTTACTTTATCTGTACTGCAATGCAATCATCCCCTCCTCTCTGAAGTCCTTGCAATTTATTATTCAAGGAACACCACAGACTAATGATCCTAGTTAATAGAAAAAGTCTTCATATTAAACTGAAAGAGAGAAGTCAAAAAGAGTTATTGAGAAACTTTCTGAAACAGGTAAAACATTGTTTTGGACAAGATAAAACACAGTATTCCACAACACAAGATTTGTAGTTGCGTCAACAATAAAAAAAAAACCAAACAAGCTTCCTTCAACTTGGTCTTAAGATTACATTGAAAACATGTATTTATTGGTCCTAAAAGTATTTTATTATCAAGCTCCAGCTCAAGACTGTATCAGTTTAAAATGTAGGTGGACACCAGTTTCCCTCAGACCCCACATACCACAGTCCACTGGTCCATGTGGTTTTGTTAGCCATCCTTCCAACAGCAAGCCAAGGTTTACAGGATTGAGTCTAAGGAGGCCAGAACTGGCATATGGAAAACCACAACAAAACTAGCTTTTTTTCTCAGCTGTTCCCCTCCCAAATCCTACTGCCCTACCTGGGAATTAGGTATCAGTGAACGCTCAGATGAATGCAGAGGACTGTCTGATTACCTCTGCCCGGTTCTCCTTTTTAGTATTTACTTAATGTACAGGGTTCCATGGTCAAGCCATCTCCGTTAAGAGCTCTTAATAACCTTAACACTGGGCTTCCAACAGGAAGACCGATCATTTTCATTATGACTCAGAGAAAATGAGGTGAGTTGGGAATGCTGCATTCGGATCAGAGGGATCTAATGCCATGACATTCCCTAGCACACCAGAGCATTTGTAATCCAAAAGTACTGTGTTTTCTGGCTAACCAGAGAACTGTATTTCTGACTTTGTATTAACTAGTCCCGGTTTGTAGCAGAAAATATCTCTAGTAATTCAATAAAAAAAAAGTTCAAGTAAGTCCCAGTAGTCAAACCACAGGTGTATTGCCCACTAGTGCCCATGCTAAAGCAGAATACATTCCTCTCAACAGAAGGTATGTTCAAAAGAATAACACTCATCTTGCTCTATTAACTTAGGTCAAACTTTCTACATCCCATTAGTAACTGAAGAGACTAAATAATTAAACAACAGGTAACAGCAGCATGGGGAGTCATATCAAGACATGGTCCCAAAGATTGTCTGTTTCTTTTAAACTGGAGAATTTAAAATAATAATAATAAAAAAAAAAAAGAGCCCACTCCAGGACTCTTCTTTGTAGCCTATCCCTTTAGGACATGAAGACAAACCATTTTCAGAATACACCAAATTTAAGATGGTCTTTAAGGCACTGTTTGCAACATTTGTGGAAAAGGACATGTGAAAATAAAATGTATTACAATATATTAATACAGCTGGGAAATTCTAATTGAATGTGAGGTTACAAGAGATGTTATCTCCCTCTTTCCTCTCCTCTTGCAGGGCTTCTCTCATTCCATTTGACCTCATGTTCCATCCCCGGAGGAATTACATCAAGACTGGATCCCCAATGCCATGGTCTGGGTTGCAGGTGAAGGAGATGGTGATGGCATAGCGAGTGCCCCAGTGAACCTTTTCCACCCGATGAAGGTTCTCTGATCCAGAGGTGAAAAAGGAAACCCGGCCTGTAAAGACAAAGTATTTAATCAGTGACATGGAGTTTGCCACTCAGCTATCAGCTCTCTACACAGTTTTGCTGTTGTCTCAGTCCAAGCGTTCCCTAGCTACCTGAGAGCCCATAGGTCATCACAAAGACAAACTGTTATGAGCTTATACTGCACTCTGACAGCTTTATGTACTGTTTAAAATGTACGTTAATCCTTTGTGCTACAAAGCTGGAGACGTAATTCCACCATATCTCATAGTTTATAAAAGGCAGGAGGAGGCCAAGAACATCTGAAGCCAGTTCTTAGTTGCCTCAAAAAAAAAAAAAAAAAAAAAAAAAAAAGCAACTCTAGTGACTGTCAGCAAAGTGTATTGATTTCCTCCCTACTCCCCTTCTAGTCTGGGCTCTAATTTTAGACCAAAGAAGGAGGAAGTACTACAAAGGTGGCAAAAAGTCTTCAGTGAAAAAATGCTCAGCAGGTTTACAAGCAGCTGTGGCAGCTTATCAGCATTGTACCGAGTATTTGCTATAGCTTTTTGTGCACAGTCTGATCACTCACTGTTCAGCCAGGTTAGAAAGTTATGTATCAGTCATATACAAATTAATTTTCCTTAGAAAGAGCCATTCCATCAATGCATTGGCTTGGAAATTGTTTTATAGATGCAAGTGCTTACTCTTGTGCTTCATCCTGTCCAAGCATTAACCACCACCCTGCCTTGGGGTTCTCCAGGCCTTAAGTGGCATCAAGGTGAAATGCAGTTACTTTGATAATGACAGCAGAGGTATTTTAGCATCCCACTTGATGAAACAGCAGAATGCAGCCCTCTGCACTTTCACATTATTAAACTGTTCTGAGAACACAAAAGTTTGATGTTTAGCAAGTAACTCCAAACTGACGCAACTCTGTAGGACTGCTCAAGTTCTCCTGAGAAAGCTAGTAATACTCATATGCACAGCTGTTTTAGCCCAATGGCATGTGTTTTTCCTACTCAGGCTTTTTTTTTTTCTCACTGTTCACATTAGATTAAAGTTTGTTAAAAAGCTTATCATAGGGAACTCATATTGACAATCTAACTCTGCCTGGGACGCATTCACAATCAGGCAAAATGAAACACTTATACGCCTACCTAAAATTTCCACAAGATAAACTATTCAAACCATTATACAATCTCCACTGCAGAAATGGGCACCAGACAACATAGCTGGTTTTCCCTTCTAACTAAACGTGATCCAAAAGATCCAGAAGTTATTTTACTTGCATACTCCTAAGCAGCACACATGGAAGATTTGAACAAACCTAAACTGGCCTCATGGAGCTCAGTTTTACCCACTAATCTCTGAAGGCTATTTGAGTAGCCTCTGTGTCCCTTGCACATTCAGTTGCAGTTCACATTTAATCTTTCATAGTTCATATAGTCTTTCATAACATTTGTATGCACAGCTCATTTACACCTTGGTGTCCTGCTTTTCTGGATGAAAGACTAAATGAAGGCAATGTACTCCTATCCTATGAGTGTTGCAGTGAACAGTGCTACCCTCAAGGATTTCATACAAACTCCCTGTGTCATGAATTTTTTTCTTTTAAATCTTATTTCAATATCATTCAAGTACTTTATTATCAGTCCCTTGTCTACTCACCCAAAGCTTTGCCTTAAACTGATTTTCAAGCTTTTTTGTTTGATCTCTTATTAGAAGTAGTAGTAATTCAGAGTTAGACAAGTTTCAGTGTATTGTTTAAGCCAGTTAAACTGGACTTTTTGCCTATACAGAATGTCTTTTAATTTCTTTCTTTAATAAATATGTCTTCATATATATGGTATCTTATAGCTCCTTGTGCATCTAGTCCCATATCTGTCAACTGGGGTCTCCGAGTCACTGAACAAGCCTACAGTCAGTTTTCAAAGATAGTTTTTCCTCACTTGGGAAGAATTTCTTTTAAACTAACTTCTATTGCAAAATTTTGAAGCAAAAGCACACTCTCTCCATGGTACCCTATTTTTAATAGTATAAATGTTCAAAAAGAGGGTAAAGAATGTTAATTCCCATCCCATCTGACAAAACCTTCAAGGAATATATGGCAATATCATTATCCAGAGACTCCTGGGGAAAGACACAAGATAAAATAAAGCTGCACCATTACCAGATAGGATGACTTCTAGGACTTTCAAGCACACCAAGACTGGACACTTCATAATTTTGCTTCAATACACAGTGTATGGAAACCACTTCAAAAATTAAATCACTACAAGAAAGCATGCAGGTCAGGACTAAGCAAGTTCCTTAAGAAAGCGTGGACCTACTCCTACGTTATAACCTGTCCTTGTTCTATCTGATTTTGATCAATTTTGAGTTCAGATTTTAAACCCCGAAATTCCAAACTATGAACCATATTAGCAAGTTAGTAGGATCATATGCAATATGGATCTGTTTTTAAGCTGTGAGATTGCATTCAAAGTTACTAAAGTGCACTTTTTTTGTGTGTGTGTGTTACACGCTGCCACAACTAATGTAGCTGTGATAGGATTTCTCTCATTGTGAATGGTGAGGAAGACATGCATAGGGCAGTTCCACTAAGCTCTCCAGACTATGAAATATTGATAGAGTGAATGCTCAGCTTCATAAGAGATTAGTATTGTACTACAAATACTAAAGAATGGCTATGCAACTATTCATTTCAGATAAAAGTACATATGTACTTACAATTTCCTGATGAAACATTTTTGAGCGACAAAAACTCAGGAGAAAGTGTGTAAAATTCTAATCCCATTTCCTTTGTCCTTTTCTTTTGTTATTTAACAATGGCCTCAAATCGGACTTTTCATTTTCTTCTCCCCTCCTCTGACCTGCCCGCGCAGATTTCTTTCCAACATGCCTTTCTGCTCCACTAAAGAAATCTTGACTACTACCTCCTGGCACATAATTTCAGTTTGATTTATGAACACTTACTGTTAAAAGTGTAAGCTTTTTTGAGATCACAAGCTACTACTCAATAAAATTTTATAGATATTATCTAACCAAAAAAGAGAAAGTGTTTAATCCCTGGTCCTTAAGGGATGAACTTTTGGTGAGGAAGAAACAGCAAAGGAATCATCTCCTGTTTTGAGGTCCATGCTTCTAAGCTTTCAGAAAGAGGCCAGTCTCTGAGCTACATTCTGAAGGACGAAGATTGGAATGGAGGTGTCCTGGGGTTAGAAGTGATGCCAAGGGTAAAAACCAAAGGATTTGGTTTTTTCCACTGAGATAAACCTATAGTCTGAAAAGTATTTCATCCCGATTGTGAGGATTTGACTCATTTTCCCCAATCACTGCAAGATGCCAAAAACTCCATTGCTTCTTTAGTTTCATGGTGCTTTGACCACTACCACAACCTCGGGGAAGAATTTTAGATCCATAAGTTACAAGGAACCGTGGGCTGCCCTCTCACATGTACTATCTATCATCTCCTCCTCACCTCCACTTGCCATTCCATGAGAAGTCAATCAGGCAGACCATACCACAGCAATTAGTGCAGCACACCAGAGCATTTAGTGCTTTTAACACTTGGACATACAGCCCCCTTATTAGATAAAAATACATTTTGTAGGCACTTCTATCCACACTCTTTCCTCTTTTCTGCCCACAAACACTTAAAATTTCTTTATAGCTGTTCCCAAATGGCTTCAAGATTTCCATCAGGCTGTCTAGTAATAGGGGAGTGACCTGTACTCCAGCCTACTTCCCATGGAAGAGTGCAACAACGGACTGGAGGAAGTTCCTCCCACATAAATGCACTTGTTCTCACCTTTCTTATTAGAAGAGAAAAAAACCAAAGAATTAGAAAGATTTGTGGTAACCTCAAGACCTGCAGGAGCCTGTTTCTAAATGATTAGCTTGCCTGCATCTCTCTACAGGAATAGGAGTAATCAATCCTTGCCTTTGATCTCTATTTGACAACAATACCTGAATCTACAGCTCATTTTCTCTTCCTTTCTACGTTTTCTCTACTTTCCAGCATTAAGTGCTAGAAAGTGTGTTTCAAGATGGAGTTTGGTCCAATAAAAGCTTAGCTGATGAGCTGCTGTTCCTTGCAGATTGCAGAAAGTGTTATTGTGATGCCGTCGCTCCCCTTTCTAGTTCACAGACAACGCCTCCAGCTCTGCTTCAGTACTAAGATTAGTCAAGAGTTTCATCCACAGGCGGAGCTGCTTCACAGTCACTTCTTTCTGTGGCCCTTAAGCATCCACACAGTTTTAAAAACTTAAAAGAGTAAGCAAAGGACAAATTGTATTGAGGATGAAATAACTAATGTAATGGAAAACTCAGGTGCAAACTCATTTAAATATGCCACCCTCTCACAGTGACCTAGGACAAGGAACTACTAACAGGCGCCACAGCATCCATCAAAACTGAGCCCGGTCTTTGGTGTCACTGACACAAATCAAGCTCTTAAATGCTGTCAGGCTGAGAAAAGCTTGTGATGTGAAAAACACTTATTCTTCTGATCTTTTGAGAATCAATTTTTGCACTGATCCACAGTGCATTATTTAGGAAGACTTACAAGTGCCAGTCACAAGCTCCACTGCTATGAATTTTATGTGATCCTAATTTAGATTAAGCAACATTTATTTTCAGGAATAATACTTAACAAAGTAATGGATATTTCACTATCCAGCAATTAATGTCCCATTTAATTACTCAAACAAAACCACTACAGGAATATATGTATTAACTATGAGCTTTTGCTTTTCCCTGCTTCTGCTGTCCCATGTTTTAATCACATTCATAATTGCCCCTTAGCAATGAATTCTTTTGAGATGTACTCAGAAAATAGTACATTGCAAGAAGCAGCATACAGGTGGGAAAGAATTATGCATTCAGCTATATGTCACAGTAAAAACTTAAGTATTCCCATAAGGCTTGCTCTCAGGAGACTTTATCCGTGTTGAATTTTAACATTCAGTTGCACTCCCATAAACAAGCTGCCTACAATTTGCTACCTAACCTCCGTACTGTGAGGTAATACAGATTGGAGGAATATAC